TGACTCAAGTATTTGGCTTGTCTATAATATGACTGTAGTATATGATGAGTCCATAATCTAACTGGGGTGTGGAGGTGGTCAGTGAGATTGACTGACTTGCCTATCGCTTTGAGGAAACCAGATCTGTCTATAAGCTTCCACCTGTGGAGGCGGAGACAATGGGCAAAATGTTTCTTGCACCCTGATCACCCAGTTACCTAGCAGTAAATAGGTACCTGGGAGTTAGACAGCTGCTACGGGCTGCTTCCTTGGGGGTGTGTAACAAAAAGTTACATATAAAAGTTAAAAGTTACATAATATAACACACAACACTGTTGTTACGAAAGCATCTGTTTTCTTCTTTAATAGTTATCAAAGTTTATGGAAGTCATGATTTCCTGAAACACCAATTCTGTAAAAACATAAAAAAGCACCAACGTTCTCTAAACCAGATAAGAAAGCCTTGTATACCGTGTAAAAACTAAAACATTTTGGTTCCTCTCAAGAGGCAGTGGAGACCCTATGTAAGCCTCTAAAGTCGATAATGTGTCACCAGCGAAGGGGAGATCACTGGAGCCTAAAAGACTGCAAACACGATGCCCATATTCCAGGAAGGAGACAAAATATGAGGCCTTAAACTTCAGGCCTCTGTCATTGACATGCATCCATGCTAAAACACTGCAGAATATATTCAGAAAGTAGATTTTGGAACAGCTGAAGAGAACCAACGTTGTATCTGAGAAACAGACAGATGGTTTTAAAGGGACGAGAGGCTGCTACACAAACCTCGTTAAGATCAATGACATGGTTATTAAGATTATTAATGATCGAGCATCGGCCCTACATGATGCAAGGGTGTCGTTCTGTCAACCAAACCCAGATGATGAATGTGTCAGAGTGACGGGAGATGACTTACCAAATCGCGTAAGGTCCAATATCCTGGCCACTACTTCTCTTGATTTATGTAAATGACATTAAGGAAATTATATTGCAGAATGACAATGTTTGTATACGATGCTAACGTAATGGGAAGGATTAACGCTGGAAGAAGACTCCACAATACCCCATGAGGACTTAGGATGTATTATACATAGGAACCAGTTGTAAGAGTCAAACATCGAAAAAACACCTGCTAGTGGGCGCAACAAAAGCCTTAACACCAGACTCCCATATCAACTGAATAACAGTAGCAGCATATGCAAAACTGAGGATGATTTCTTTTCAAGATCTTAAGAAATAGCTTCTTCAAAATAATATACAGAGTGAATGTTAGAAAATGCAGCTCCATCACCAATCCAGATAATCTTCAAGAAGTCTAAGAAGAACATTTAAACCACTATAAGTGGGTTACTTGGGATATAATATCTGCAGTTTTTCTTAGAACTAAAATAACCCAAACTAAGGTAAAAAATTCTAACCATACCTAACATAATGTATCCTAACCTTCCATGATATAACATAATCTATCCTACCCTAATCTAACCTAACCTGACATAATCTATCGTAACCTGATCTAACCAAATCAACTCTAACCTTTTCAAACCCGAACTAACAGAACATATTTTTTGACCAAGCCATTAGAAAATTTATAATATGTTCACACTTATAAATTAAATCAGCAATAGCATAGTCTCCGTAGGAATTGCTTCACACAGAAAGCAATTTGAGCACGTCAGTCACGCTGAGAATAGAGTTCACCCTTAATGCCTCAGTAATTCTCCCTTAATGCCTCAGTAGTTCACCCTTAATGCCTCAGTAGTTCACCCTTAATGCCTCAGTAGTTCACCCTTAATGCCTCAATAGTTCACCCTTAATGCCTCAGTAGTTCACCCTTAATGCCTCAGTAGTTCACCCTTAATGCCTCAGTAGTTCACCCTTAATGCCTCAGTAGTTCACCCTTAATGCCTCAGTAGTTCACCCTTAATGCCTCAATAGTTCACCTCCCTGCCGTCTTGCATGAGCTGTCTAGCCTTCCTTTACTTCTCTCAGGTAAGACCACTGTCTATACAATGCAATGAGTTTTGAAATTCAATAAATAACTAAGCGTTATTTTATTCAGCATTTTTGCAAGTAATTCGTCAATTTAAAACAAGAGTTATCTGAAATATAATTTTTTATTTATTTTAAATGCTGTTTTTGGGTTTATTAAGAACTTTTAAATAAATATTCTCTTACTGTCATGAATTAAAAAATATTGAAAAAGGTTCAGTTTTGTTGACCCGGTTTTAAATTAATTGGCAATTAGTTACTCTGCTTTGAGCGAATGTTATTTGTTAACAAATTCATTTACTTATTTATTTTTTATATTTCAACTGATTGATTCATTCGTTCGTTTATAAATAATTTAAGTTTATTAATTATATATATATATATATATATATATATATATATATATATATATATATATATATATATATATATATATATATCACTAAGAACTCTTTGACCCGGCCAAGATTCGAACCCATGCCGTCCAGGATCACCCCTAAACGTACACAGTACCGAGACCACCGCACCAATGATCGTCTAAGTTCTTAGGGATATATGGCTTTTATATATATATATATATATATATATATATATATATATATACAATGCTTTTATATTCGTTTTGGGTGAAGTAACACAAAACTTTTCAGTGAGGTGGGTATGGGGTGAGGTGGGTACATATGAATAAAAGTAACTGCAGAGGGCCTATTGGCCCATACAGGGTCTTGAAGTGGGTAGTATGTAGATATGAGTTAATTAACTGTTGATGGCTGGTGTTGACTTTTTAATGTGTAGTGCCTCGCTGATGTCGAGCCTCTTGCTATCGCTGTATCTATCGATGATTCCTGTGTTGTTTGTTAAGATTTCTCTGGTGATATATATATAATCCCCTTATCATAGAGGTTATGGGAGTCTAACTCCAGAATCATTAGGTAGTTAGGAAGTCGAATCCACCGCTCACCAGGTAGTAAGGGAGTCAAATACCTCACCAGAGTCGCTGAGCAGTCGAACCCCATCAGCATTTGGCTCCAAAATATGGCTCAGGAATCGGATTTAGGATATTTGGGATATTTTAAAAACTGCAGGGGAGTTTGGGCAAAATGTGACCCATCGTCGTTTTCAGTAATTGGCATATTTTCGGTATACAAAGTTGTAATTTCAAACTGCAAATATGTGCAGAGAGCCAGAATTTGGCTCCAAAATATGGCTCAGGAGTTGGATTTAGGATATTTGGGATATTTTGAAAACTGCCGGGGGGTTTGGGCAAAATGTGACCCATCGCCGTTTTCAGTAATTGGCATATTTTCTGAATAAAAAGTCCAAATTTTAAACTGCAAATATGTGCAGAGAGTCAGAATTTGGCTTTAAAATATCGCTCAGTAGTCGGATTTAGGATATTCGGGATATTTTGAAAACTGCAGGGGGGTTTGTGCAAAATGTGAATCTTCGTCGTTTTCAGTAATTGGCATATTTTCGGTATAAAAAGTTGTAATTTCAAACAGCAAATATGTGCAGAGAGCCAGAATTTGGCTCCAAAATATGGCACAGAAGTTGGATTTAGGATATTTGGGATATTTTAAAAATTGCACGGGGGGTTTGGGCAAAATTTGACAAATCGCTGTTTTCAGTAATTGGCATATTTTCGGTATAAAAAGTCGTAATTTCAAACTGCATATATGTGCAGAGAGCCAGAATTTGGCTCCAAAATATGGCTGAGGAGTAGGATTTGGGATATTTGGGATATTTTGAAAACTGCACGGGGGTTTGGGCAAAATGTGACCCATCGCCGTTTTCAGTAATTGGCATATTTTCTGTATAAAAAGTCGAAATTTTAAACTGCAAATATGTGCAGAGAGCTAGAATTTGGCTTCAAAATATGACTCAGGGGTCGGATTTTGGATATTTTGAATACTGCAGGGGGGGGGGGCAAAATATGACCCGTCTCCGTTTTCAGTAATTGGCATATTTTCGGTATAAAAAGTAGTAATTTTAAACTGAAAAAATGTAGAGTTAAGTTCCTCTCAGACAGGATGGGGGGAGCCGGATCCTATTACAAGATGGGTAGACGAGTCCAATTTCCTCGGCATAAGAACTGTGTAGTCGAACTTCCTCGCCTAAAATTTTCAGCCATCCTTTCCATTGTCCCATCTACATAGTTGAAATCAGGTGCTTTCTCCTGATAATTCCCTTCCCTTGCTTGTTACTATAAATATTTTTCCATTTTTATATACTTGAATATTAACCCCCAAATCGAGAATTTTAAAACGAACAAACCCTGAAGGTAAAATTTACCAGGTATTGAATATTTCGAAAGCAACATTTTTTATCTTGACAGCAAAACAAGCATTATTTCAACCCCTTTCCCCCAGTATATTCATATCGTTCATAGAGGGCTGAAATATCAGACGTGCCTGTCTGAGTTAGTACAAAGGAATTCTGATTTTCCAGGTCGTGGCAGGAGCTATGAAGAATGTGAACCGGGTTTAGCAGTTGCGAGCCGGGTCACATATCGTTGTCTGACAATATTTACGACTCGGGAAGGTATATGGCTGAGTGAATCTTGTGTGTTTGTCATTGTTTGTATGTCTGTGATGTGGACACGTTATATATTCCATTTGCTGCTTGCTGTCTTTCCTAGAGATTTATTGTGTATTATAAATCATGTATTCTGTTAGCATATACCAACATATAAGCGCAAGTAACCACACGTATTTTTTTTAATAAATCGGAGCGGGCGATGAGTCACAATAACGTGGCTGAAGTATGTTGACCAGACTACACACTAGAAGGTGAAGGGACGACGACGTTTTGGTCCATCCTGGACCATTCTCAAGTCGATTGTGAATCACAATCGACTTGAGAATGGTCCAAGACGGACCGAAACGTCGTCGTCCCATCACCTTCTAGTGTGTGGTCTGGTCAACAAAATAAATCGGAGAGCTCTCAAGTCATTATCAATAGATTAATACTCAAAAGATCTCGGATTTCTCGTATTCTTTCTCATGTCTTACCTCTTGAATGTGTTTAAGACCATGACGGCAAATAATATAACCTATCAGAATGTGGGGGAGACGGAGAAGAGTGAGGGATCTGATCCAGCACCACTTTGCTACCCAGAGTGTGCTGGGGAGCAGGAAGAGGAATCTAACCCATCTCCAGTACACTCACTTCACTCATCAGGACACACGACATCGAGGAGAATATCTGATACAGCAAATGACTTAAATTATTTCCCAGGCAGGGGACACCCTTCAACTCTGTTGCACCAAAGGTCACGACGTCTCCCTTGCTACATGATAACTGTCATCACGCTAAGCAATAATGTGGCTTTTAACGTCCAATGGAGTGTTATCATATTCCCTCCCCCCGACCCCCAATCGCACCTTTCCTTCCTCCACCAGTCCATTGTCATCCCTCAAGTTCTCTTTTTCTGATGTCGATCTTCCTATCCTCTGTCGTTCTTAATTGTTACTGTCTTCCTGCTTTCGTTATCACTGTCCATCTATTCCCTTCGTTCATTATTTCATATTAGTAATAACTATCAATAAAAGGAGAGACATGTGTATTAATAGCAATCATTTACAAACTAATTGCCAACATTTATTAAATGCACATATAAGTGAATTATTTCACATTACATATTCTTTACACTGAAACTTGGATATTTATTGAGCGCTTTATTATTATAACTGAGAAACATAGATATCCATATATATATATATAAAAAACAGAAAATAACTTCCCAACAGATATCATACCCAACAGATATCATACCCAACAGATATCATTGGGTCAAAGACACATCTGTCCCAGACAAATAAACGACCAAGATTATCTCATAGTTTAGCTAAGGGTGAACAAAGCTTTTAAGTACGATGCTCTGAAAAAAAAAATGTCAGGCACCCCAAAAAGAAAGATATCAGAGGGCCATGCCCGACTACATTAAAGCAAGAAAGAATGCAAAATAAATTTGATTTATACTGTGATGTATTATATATTCAGTATATCCTGTACATGAGTACACTCATGTACTCAAGACACTCACCTTGTCAGCACATTCATCTATCCAGTTAACCACTTTAACTAACTTAATAGACCAAGCTGACTCATATATAAAAACGACACAAACCAGCCTATTCAGCTACCCAGCCCACTTCCCTAGCCAGCCTATTCAGCTACCCAGCCCACTTCCCTAGCCAGCCCATTCAGCTACCCAGGCCACTTCCCTAGCCAGCCCATTCAGCTACCCAGCCCACTTCCCTAGCCAGCCCATTCAGCTACCCAGCCCACTTCCCTAGCCAGCCCATTCAGCTACCCAGCCCACTAACCTAGCCACCCCATTCAGCTACCCAGCCCACTTCCCTAGCCAGCCCATTCAGCTACCCAGCCCACTTCCCTAGCCAGCCCATTCAGCTACCCAGCCCACTTCCCTAGCCAGCCCATTCAGCTACCCAGCCCACTTCCCTAGCCAGCCCATTCAGCTACCCAGCCCACTTCCCTAGCCAGCCCATTCAGCTACCCAGCCCACTTCCCTAGCCAGCCCATTCAGAAAAGCCAACCTTCAGCACCCCTGACACTGGACCGTCCTGCTGCTTGACCAACCAATTGGAGCAGGTTGTTACAATGTTCTGTTGAGATTGCATAGTCTGCTTCCGCGCTTGGTCCAGAAGACTCATCTCCAGTGTGGGACTCTTTTGCGGTTCCTGCTGCCGCAGTCGCTGTTGTTCTAGTAGTTGAAGTAGGTGTTTCAGCCGCTTTAAGTTTTGCTGGTAGAAACGAACTGCAGAAAGGCACTTGCTGTAGGGCTCTGTTAAAAGGTTAGGTTAGATTAGGTTAGGTTTATATAGTTTTGGTCTGGCTACGTTTGGTTAGATTAGGTTAGGTCAGTAGCCCTTGTGTGTATATTTACGAGTAAGGATAATATATGAGTACATCCTCTTTCTGTCCATCTCTCTCTCTCTCTCTCTCTCTCTCTCTCTCTCTCTCTCTCTCTCTCTCTCTCTCTCTCTCTCTCTCTCTCTCTCTCTCTCTCTCTCTCTCTCTTAGAAATACAGATTTAATGCTGAAACGAAAGTTGAAACAAGAGTAATAAAGTTTTAATCTCAAAACTTCTTTGAGTTGAAGAGACAAATCAATATTTACAGAAAAGTCTGGATTGCTCTTGCCTTCAGGAGGAGGTGTGGTTTGCATCCTAGAGGAAAAGGAGGATGATGAGTAGTAGGTATTTGGACGAGGTCTTCCTTCGGCAGGAGGAGGGACTTGGAGGCCGAGTAGGTACGTAACCACCACAGAATCAAGCAGCCAAACTCTCATATTGCCCCAATTGACCCTTCACGTTGCACTAGAAGCACTGCCGAATATTTGACAGAAATGTCACGAACGGTTGTAAACAACTGCGCTATTCGAGAGGGAGTACGGGTGCCATGGCGTCATGGGGAAACTGAAGTAAATGTTAAGTTTGTAGTAGTTATCCCTTAGCTGCCAGTCGATAAGGCTTTAAATAGAGCGTAACGGGACCCGGAGAACCTTGTCTGGTAAGTGGGGCGAACCGAAGACACAAGGGAAGCCGTATGGATAAAATTAAATGTCCGTATAGTTCTGTAAACCTCTGTAGGATAACCTTTTTCATCGGACGTAAACACTTTCTTCCGGTCTTACTGGGGGCCAACGTTGAGTGGTGTAGCTTGCTCGTTTGTTGCTATGTGTGTGTATATATATCTATGTTTGTGTGTGTGTGTGTGTGTGTGTGTGTGTGTGTGTGTGTGTGTGTGTGTGTGTGTGTGTGTGTGTGTGTGTGTGTGTTCGCGCTTAGGTATGTGAGCGTGAGAGCGATTGGCGACAAATGTCGCGTCTACAACGTAACCTTGAGTCAATGTCTCATAACAACTTTAAGAAAGACATGCGTGAGTGTATGTGTGTGTGTGTGTGTGTGTGTGCGTGTGTGTGTGTGTGTGTGTGTGTGTGTGTACTCACCTAGTTTGTGTGTGTGTGTGTGTGTGTGTGTGTGTGTGTGTGTGTGTGTGTGTGTGTGTGTGTGTGTGTGTGTGTATGTGTGTGTGTGTGTGTGTGTGTGTGTGTGTGTGTGTGTGTGTGTGTTTTGTGTGTGTGTGTGTTTAGTCCCTAATGTTCACTTGGGACCCCCTAGTCACCCACGCTGGTTAAATTTAGGGTGTGATCAGGGGCGTTTCCCGTTTTAACTTTGCGTGCGGGCACGCGTGTGTGTACTCACATTGTGGGGACACACTCTACACACACACACACACACACACACACACACACACACACACACACACACACACACATACACACAAACTAGGTGAGTACACACACACACACACACACACACACACACACACACACACACACACACACACACACACACACACACACACACACACACACACTTTACCAGAGTGAGTTAAACTCTAAACTCTAACTTTCAGGGTCGAGCTAGACTCCTGGCCCCGCCTTCCGAAAGTTCTTAGATTAATGCAATGACTTATTTCTCACACTTTCATCATATTTGCATATTAAACTTTGAATCGAATTAGATTCAAGGACTTCTACGTCTAACTTATTTAACTTATTGACAATTCTGACACTGAAAAGTTCTGACTGATGTCTCTATGACTAGCTTTGAACAACGCTGCTTTATCTACTTTGTCAATTGCTCTCAGAATCTTATATGTTGTTATCATGTCCCCCCTGTCTCTATTTTCCTCCATTGTGTTAGGGTCCAGTTCTATCAGTCTTTCCTCAAAGCCCCTTCCAATCCCCTCAGCTCTGGAACGAGTCTCGTTGCATATATTTAGTAGAATTTCTCCTTGTCCTTTTCTCAGTAAGATCTCCATGCTGAGGATGCATATTCAAGCGTGGGTCTCACCTTCGTTGTATATAGGGCCCAAAAAGCCCCTATGGCAAAGTTTCTGAAGGATATACGGATGTTGGCCAGTATGTCATATGCAGCTGTTGTTATTCTGCTTCAGGCATCAGATCTATCGTTATGTCCACTTTAAGGTCTACCTCCTTTTCTGATTGAGGAATCTGTTTTCCCTTTATCCTATGCTGTTATACTAGTCTTGACACTCCTGTTCCAATCATGATAACATTGCAAATTGTCATCCACACTTCCGTGGAAATGAACCTTCCATTCACCTGGGCTCTGGGAGACTCGAACCGTAGACCCCACGTGTGTGAGGCCGAAGGTCTATTGACCGAGCGATAGACCGAATTACTATGTCAGTAATTCATGTTTTTATTATAATGTAATAACATTAATTAAAATAAGTGAAATGAAAACTTTTTCGAAAATTAAAATCACTCTGTCTATTAGGCAAATCGTGACTTGCATACTTGGCCAAGTAGTGCGTTCTGGCAATTAGGTTACGACATATGTTAATATATCTTCTTGTTAGATTATTTATTCATATATATTTATTAAAAATATTTACCATATTATGACCGCAGATACATAGATTTATCTTTATACATAGATTACATTCCCTCTAATGCGTTATGTGTGGTTTCCTCCGAGGCTAAGGGTCCCCCTTCTTCCAGCCAGAGGTGGTACTCCCTTCCCTTCAGTGTTTTATTATAAGAAAATAGATTTATCTATACACTTATTCATATAGTTCCTAAAATACAATTTACACAAGTGGATACAGTCCCATACAGTTCTCTGTTTTTTGTAATAATAACTCACATCAAAGCCATTAACCTTGGAAAATTTATGTGATACACCAACATATTCAAAATTGTCCTTTGATAAACGGGGATATATCGCGCGGGCTTTGTAAATGCTCTGTTCTGTTGATGTAAACCTCAGAGATATTTTAATTACGAAATGTATTATTTGCGTTGCGAAATATATAATATAGCTAAGTTTATATTTGCTCTGAAAATGTATGATTTCTGAACGAGGTATATTTCTCGTAAATACATAATTTGTTATGTGGGATTTGAAGTTTAATACAGATTCCTCACGATGTAAATATATATATATATATATATATATATATATATATATATATATATATATATATATATATATATATATATATATATATATATATATATATATATATATATATATATGCGGAAAATCCACAGAGAAATATGAAATGAGGTGAACGTTTCGGCTTGTTAAAGCCTTTGTCAA